ATTATACTCAGTCCCCAAACATCAGTTCTCATTAACTCGAGGGTATTCTTAGCAAAGTAAGTTTCATAGTATTTAATACATTCCTTTTCCAGGCCTATTTGTCCCCGGGAACTACCTGATCCAGCTTAGGGCGGTACTTGCCTTTAGTATTGTTTCACTGATCCAGTCAGGTGGCAGGAGAGCAGCCAAGAGATAAGGAGACTTCTTTCAGATAGAATGAGAACTTCAGCCATGACAAAGTCTAGGAGTGTCTTTTGCTCCTTCTCCATGTCCCCCAAGTCCTTCCTTGATGGCCTCTAGACTGTGCCTGTCTTAGATTGCCCCTGCCATTGAGGGGTCTTACCCATCATTGACTAACCAGCCATCCTCCTGGGCCACGCAGGGTGATGCAAAGGAGACAGGTTTTATCTCCTCAGTTGTCTAATTTCCCAAGGCCTCCTTGCCCAGCTCCAGCCTTGGGGCCCTCTTATCTCGGTGAGGCTACAGCCCCTGAAACCAGGCAGGATGGTTCCCAACACAGTCCCAAAGAACAAATACAAGGTACCTAAAGTAGTCAAATTCACAGAGACATGAAATAGAATGGTAGTTTCCAGGGAATAAGAGGAGTAGGGAAGGGTAGTCTTTAATGGATATTCAGTTTCAACTTAGAAAGATGAATTTTGAATATGGATGCTGGTGATGGTTGTACAACTTAACTGTACACTTAAAATAATCCAGATGGTAAATTTTATGTGCAAGTTTTAAAAATGAAAAAATCCACATAAATCAACATTAAGAGAATAAGAAAAATCATATGGTCATCTCAATAGTTGCAAAAATATGTTTGATGAAATTCAACACTTGTCCATGACAGCAAACTATGATTCAAGGGGGAATTTCACTGATTTGATGGAGATTATCTATAAAAAGTAGTCATACCCTTTGTCACACCTAATGGTAAAATGTTTATGAGTTTTCTTTAGATTCCAGGAAAAATGCAAGGATGTTCATAATCACTACTATGGAGGTCCTAGCCAGCACAATAAAGTAAAAAAAAAAAAAGTTATAGATTTAAAATGAAGCAAAAAAGATGTTCCTTTATGATACATTTTTGTACATAGAAAGTTCAAAAGACTGAATAAGTGAGTTTAGCAAGATCATTGCATATAAATTGTTTAAATCTATTATATGTAATATATATATAAACTTAATGTTTTATATATACTTTACTGTAATACCATCATTTATATATTTAATATACAGGTGTGGACAGAAGTAGGCTGCAGAAGTTGGGAGTACACAAAAGTTTATTCTTGTATTATTTGTTAATTATGGTGTTATTTTCCATACAAACAACTGTAAACCTACTTTTCCCACACTTGTATGCTATCAAAAGTCAAAAAAAATGAAATTAAGATATTTATAATACCTAAATATCAAATACATATGACTAACCTAACAAAAACGTTCAAACCTTCTGCACTGGAAAAATACAAAAATTGCTGAAATTATAAGATGTATATAATTGAAAAGGTATAGCATGCTCATAGTCTGGATGTCTCAATATTGTTAAGGTGCCCATTCTTTCAAAATTATATAATGTCCATGAATATCCCAACTTTTTCGTGTGGAGTAACTGCAAAGCAAAAAATCATTGAAAAATGAATATGAAAATGCCAAGGACCTAAAATTGCAGTGACATTTTAAACAAGAACGAAATTAGAAGACATAGTCCACTAAATACCAAGACTTACTCTAAATCTGTTTTCACTAAGACTTCTTGATGTTAAATAGAACACTGCATCAGCATGGATGACTTAGAAATGAACCCTCACATAATATGCTCATAATGGTACTACTCCAATCCAAGGAGGGAAGAAGATGGTCTTTTAATTAATGTTGAATAAATTGTATATTTGTACGGAAAATATTAATTTTGACCTCTATGCCATCCCATACATAAAAATTAATTTCAGATAGGTTGTAGATCTGAAAGTAAAAACAGCAGATATGCAGAATAAAATTCAGGAAAATACCTGTATGACCTTGGGTTAGAAAAAGATTTCTTTAACTGGACATATAAGTCCTAATCATAAAAAAAGTTTGATGAATTACTCTTCATCAAAATTAAATGCGTCTTTTCATCAAAGAACATCATTTAGAGAGATAAAGGCAAATTGCAGATACTTGTAATACTACAAATATTAATACCTTATATACAAAATTTTAAAGAAACCTGTAAGTGAACAGAGTTCCCAATGAAAATATGGGCAAAAGTCTTGAACATGCACTTCTCAAAAGAGAGTATTTTTTTTAAGAAAATAAACACCTAAAAGGGGATGCAACACTATTAGCCACCAAGGAAATGGAAATTATACCTATAATGAGATACCATTACACACTACAACCAGGCTTCGGAGCCATTGAAACTGCTCTAGTAAAGGTGGCCAGGGTCATCTCCATTCCCTAACCCAATGGACACTTTTCAGTTCTTATATCATTTGAACCTGCTATGCTCCTCTTCTTGAAATACTTGGCTTTAAAGCAGGGAAAGGAGGCAGGGTCTAAATGTGTGTGAGTGTTGGGGAGGTAGAAAGCAGCAGCCAATAGAGCTGGCATTTTCATGTCAACTGTTTGACAGCAGGGTGTTTTAAAAATATTTATCTTTCAATTATGTCAACAATATTATATTAGTTTCAGGTGTACAGCACAGCGGTTAGACATTTATGTAACTTATGAGGTGATCCTGCCATTACGTTTAGTTACCCAACACCACTAAGTTATTACAATATTATTGACCATATTCTCTATACTGTATTTAACATCCCTTTGATTATTTTGTAATGACAGCAGGGTTTTTTAAGGGTAGTATTTCAAGGTCTAACCATCAAACTTTCTGATCAGGAAGTAGTACATTATATCCAAAGGTTAGTCTCTTGGTAATAATTAATAAATCTCTATTAAAATTCAATTAGAAATAGTCACTTTAACCACAATGTCAAATTATTTATAATGGAAGAAAGCTCATATCATTTATTCAATATCCTCTTCCCAATATTAGATATTTGTCTATTGTATGCATTTTAAGAGGGACATTTGATTTTCTTTCCTTCATTCTCCACTGACACATAGCTCTTCATGCCTTGCTCTTTTTGGGTATCAGGTCCTTGGATTCTGGATTCCCACTTTGACTTCACATCTCTTGTAGTATTCCTTCATTTAATAGGAATATTCAATATTCCTTCATTTGTGGAGTTGGGAGTCCACTCTATATTCCAATGTTTTGTGAGGCTATACACCGAACTTTTACCACTGTGACCTTTACTTGGCACCATGTTGAAAGTGGAACTTCTTCAGAGGCTTACAACCACGGCATGTCTAGATATTCTTGAATGTTTTCCATCTATATACAATTTATATTACCTCCTCCAAATGAAATGCATGGGGTTGGGGTGAGGTGCTGGGTAACTTTGGAATTTAGGCACCTTCAAAATTAATTCCCATATTCTTAGATCCACTACCCTTCCCCCACCAGTGTATATCCAGCACCCAGGGTGAGTCCTGGCATAACAGGTGTCCAATGAATTAGCTTCACAAGAAAAATAGGGTTTTCATGTTTATGGAAATATCACATGCTCATTGGAAAGAAAAACTTAAAAATATAACAAAGTGAAGAAAAGTAAAAAAAAAAAAAAAAGAAAGAAAAAAAAGAAAAAGAAAAGAAATACCTGATACTCCACCAACTGTGAAGCAACTATCTATCCCCTCATTTATGGCTCCCAAAGCTCACACAAATATATAGTTTTACACAGTTTTATACCATACATACTGCTCTTATATTTCTCCTTTTTCCCCAGTCTTTTCCCTTCCTTATCTCTCTACTTTTCTCCTCCCTTCAAGTTAACCAATGTTAACTATCTGGTATAAATCCTTTTATACCTGTCTCCATGTTCATCTAATCACATACACACATAAATACGTAAATTGATGTGCTTAACAAAAATGAAATAGTATACATATATATTAAAGCAGTGATTTATCAAAAATTGCGGACAAAACTTGAGGTCAACTAGTGTAGATATAACTCATTTTAAAAATTACTCTCATGCTACTACATATATCAGGATATATCACAATTCATCCAACCATTCCCCTATTATATTCCCCATTCGTTGTGTCTCCAGTTGGGCTTCTTCTCTGCCTCCAAAACTATACTTCAACAAACATCCTTATTTGCATACTCTTATTCATTAATGCTCTTATTTCTGTGGGACAGACTTCTGAGTCAAAGTACTTTTATTTTTCAAATAGTATTTTCAAATTAGATTGCTGGTGAAAATATAAGTTGATATAACCTATTGGTAGAGTACATGATTTCCCAAACCCCACTAGCAAGAGATCTCTTAATTTTGCTAACTCCACGAAGTGAGAGTGATATATCATTGGATGTTTTCATTTGCATTTACCTGAGTACTACTTAGGTTCAATATTTTCATAGGTTAATGGCCATTTGGAGTTGCTCTTCTATCAATAGCCATCCAGTCCAAATGGGTTAAAGACTTCAATATAAAAAATAAAATTATCAGAATCTTAGAAACAAATTTAGGAACCTATGTATAACCTAGGAATTAAGAAGACCTTTCTAACTAAAATAGTAAATTAAGAAAAAGGAAAATGGAAAAATTAAAATGTGGTAAATTCTTTTACTATATAAAAAAGTATAAAGACAAATGCTAGATTAAGAAAAACATCTGCAAAACACACGACAAAGGAATTAATATCTAAAATATATAAAGAGCACCTCCAAATTTATTTGACAAACCAATAGAAAAATAGGCAAAAATATATAGGCAATCCATTGAAGACAGTCTGTTAAATGAATAAAGTATGAAATCTAGATGAAAGTTTTCATTTGTCCATTACTGTACTCTATTGTGAATTTCCTTACAAATTCTAAAGTTTAATATGATTAACTGCTTTTTCACATTGATGTGTTTATAGAGTGTCTTTTCTATGCGTATTTCCTGGCAAATTGATTCTGAAAGTCACACATTCATTAAATATACAGATTATGATTATTCTTGGTGAGTAGACATCTGGATGAATGATTTATTATTATTTATATTAGCTGAGTTTCTCTCTGATGTATTCTTTGATGTACAGTAAGGCTTGAGCTACTCCTAAAAGTTTTTCCACATTCATTACATTTATAGGGTTTTTCTCCAGTATGCATCCTCAGATGTACAGTAAAGTCTGAGTTAGTTCTGAAAGCTTTTCCACATTCTTCACATTTATAGGGCCTTTCTCCAGTATGAATTCTCTGATGTAGAGTTAGCTGTGATAGAGTAATACAACCTTTTCCACATTCTTTACATGTATAAGGTTTTTCTCCAGTATGTGTTCTCCAATGCACTGTAAGGTATGAACCCCTCCTGAAGGCTTTTCCACAGACATCACATTTATAGGGTTTCTCTCCACTATGGATTTTCTGATGTTCTGTGACATGTACCATCTGGCTGAATGCTTTCCCACAGTCATTACATTTAAATGGTTTCTCTCCAGTATGTGTTCTCTGATGGGTATTAAATCCTGAGTTACTTGTAAAAACCTTCCCACATTCATTACATTTGTAGGGTTTTTCTCCAGTATGCCTTCTTTGATGCACAGTAAGCTGTGATGTATTTGTAAAAGCTTTCTCACATTCATTACATTTATATGGTTTTTCTCCAGTATGGGTCCTTTGATGTACAATAAGGTATGACTTGGTCCTGAAGGATTTTCCACAATCACAGCATTTATAGGGTTTCAAGCCAGTATGAATTTTCTGATGCTCCTTGAGATTTACCATTTTGGTGAATGCCTTCTCGCAGTCAGTACACTTATATGGTTTCTCTCCAGTATGAATCCTCTGATGTACAGTTAAGTGTGATTTTATTCGGAAAGATTCCCCACATTCATTACATAGATAAGGTTTCTCTTCAGTATGAATTCGCTGATGTATAATTAGAGAAGAAGAACGCATGAAGGCCTTTCCACATTCACTACACTTATAAGGTTTCTCTCCTGTATGCATTCTATGGTGTACTGTAAGGCATGAATAATTAATGAATGCTTTCCCACATTCATTACATTTATAAGGTTTTTCTCCTGTATGAATTCTCTGATGCTCTGTGAAATTTGCTATACGATTGAATGCCTTCCCACATTCATTACATTCATAGGGTTTTTCACCAGTATGAGTTCTTATATGTACAATAAGGCTTGAATTACTTCTATAGGCTTTTCCACAGTCATTACATCTGAAGGGTTTCTCTCCAGTATGAATTCTCTGATGAACATTGAAAATTGTAGTATTCTTGAAGGCTTTCCCGCACTCATTGCATTTATATGGTTTCTCTTCAGTATGGGTTTTCTGATGTACACTAAGATATGACTTATTCCTAAAAGTTTTCCCACAATCATTACATTTGTAGGGTTTTTCTCCGTTATGAGTTTCTTGATGTCGTGCAAGTTTTGATTTATCACTAAAAGCTTTCCCACATTCACTACATTTATAGGGCTTCTCTCCAGTTTGAATTCTCTGGTGCTGATTAAGGCGTGCACACTGACTAAAGGATTTTCCACAGACATTACATTGATAAGGTTTCTCCTTAGTATGAATTCGCTGATGTACCATAAGTGATGAAGAAGCAATAAAGGCCTTTCCACATTCGTTACACTTATAGGGTTTTTCTCCAGTGTGAATTTTTTTATGTTGACTAAGATATGAAGGCTGGCTAAACATTTTCCCACATTCATTACATTCATAAGGTTTTTCTTTAGTGTGAGTTCGCTGATGTTGAATGAGTAATGACCTATATCGAAAGGCCTTTTCACATGTACTACATTTATAGGGTTTTTCTTTATCATTGAGTTTGTTCCCTAAAGTAAGTTCTGAGGTTGGTCTTATGTCTTTGCGGCCTTCTGTATCCTTGCAATTTTTCTTCCCAAAATGAGTATCTGTATTCAAACCTAAATTCTCTGTGAAATTTCCCACATGTGTTTGGCATTTGCTGTGGAGTTCTTCTATGATAACTTCCGGTTCTGGACAAAACATAGACCCTAATCTAATGCCTCTTTGACCAGTGGGCATCTTCTTATGTGTAACTATTCTTTGGCTCTCCTGACTATTTTGCAGTCTTAATATTCTATCATTCCATTTCCATAATCCTCCCATTCTGGAGTCCCATAGACCATTCTCTGTGAGTTTATCCACTATAGTCTCCTGTGATAAAACTTCAGAGTTATCTTCTGTTAGTATAGCATTCTTGGTTGCTAGCTTGACCTCCAACTCTAGGGAAGGGGAAAAGAAAAATCAAATGATTCCATTTCCTAAGTTGGGGAGAACTCACTAAACTGAATATCACAAGGAAAACCGGCTAACAATGATTATATGTGTTTTTTAACTGATTGAAAATTACCTTTTTTTTTTTTTTGAAGGAGCTAAAGTTAAGTGAGTCTGATTAAGCAAAGAACCAAAGTACTAAATTCAAGGAGTTTTTCCTCTATTAAAAAAAATTCATTCATTTCACCATTAAAGGACCCATGGAAAAAGGCAATGGGGGAGGAGGATTAAAAATGGAAGGTGGGGGTGGGCAGGGCAGGGGAAAATAATGGGGGAGAAATGGGAACAACTGTAATCGAACAGGAATAAATTTTTTTTAATGAAAAATAAAAAAAAATTATTCATGGCAATGCTCCTAGAATCTAAGTCTATCCAGTATTTCTTTTCTCATTCCTTTTAGAGTCCACGTCTTTAGAAGCATTCTTCATAAGCTGTGACTACTTCCTTGCTTCTCATTTACTTCACAAACCAGATATTTGACCCCAACCATACTTTCTATTTGTTCTCATTGTTTGTTGATTAGATATTTTTTAATTTTGTGAGAGCATTCTCAAAATTTCCTGTCATAGTAGCTTATTCAAGTCTTTGTACATACATTTTAATAAAATTCTTATGGAAAAAGATGCTGATTTTTCAGATAGGACAAACAACTAACTAGTCAAAATTAATGTTTATGGTTATTGATATTTCAAATAGTGATAACTATTATCAAGAATAGTTTTATAAACTTTTTATGGGTCTTAACATTTCTGAGTTTATCAAAATTCCTTTTAAAAAAAATTATTCTGTGTGGTGGTAGTCTTACAACCTGCTTGTATATGCTAGTTGATACCTGACTTTCTAAAATCACTTTTATATTTCTAATTCATTTTAGGATAATTATACCTAAATTTAAATATTTAGGTATAATAATTTTAAACAAACAAATTGTATCTAAATCTTTTGTGGACAGTAGATTAGTTTTGGGACTTTAAAACTCAAGGTAAGTAGAACTTGCCATTGGTACACAGGGCTGGACAAAGATTTGAATTCAGGGCCAACAAAGAAGAAAATCCTATAACCCAAGGACTAAAACCCAGCTCATTTAAATGTCTAATTAAATCAAGGTGACTGAGGATTGTTTCAGGCCCATATCCTAGCAGCCTTTCAAAGCAAACAATCCTCTATGAAAAAAATTACATAATCCAGAACTTCAAATTATTGTTATATGTTTTCATAGTCAATGCCTGACAGTGAAAAATAACAGACAAACAAGGATATAAAAATAATCATCTGAGAAAAATCAAGGAAAAAAAACAGAAAATAAAAACCAATATAAAAGGGATCCAAATAATTGAGATCTCAGATATGAACTTTCAAATTAATTAGGATTACTATATTCAAGAAAATAAGTCAAGATTAATAATTTCAACAAATAATTGGAAAGTATAAAATAAAAACCAAGTGGTAATTCTAGAGCTGGAAAATAAATTAAGAACTCAAAAGGACAGGCTAAAAGTAGAAATGGCACATGAGAGTATAAGCAAAATGGAAAATAAGTCAGCAGGAAATATCCATATTGACGCACAGAATGAAAAACTTGAAAACATATATACTACAATGACAAAATGGAGTGGTTGCTACGAGACATTACAGTCCCACAAAGCCTAAAATATCTACTGTCTTGCCTTTTATACCAAAAGTTCCCTGACTCCTGAATTAGACAGATGGTTGACTTCTCAATAGATTCTATGTAATGAGAGAAAACAATGGAATGATACCATTAAAAGTTAGAAGTATAAATACCAACCTAAAATTCTAAACTTATCAAAAATATTATTAAAAGATGAAGGTTAAATACCCCTTAGTCAACACATTTATAAACTTACTTCTGTTCTTAAAAACAACTACAAATGTTAGGGAGAGAGAGTTCTCACTTTATGATTCATAAAGTGAAGTTAAACATGGTTAACTAAAGCTGGTAATTGACAGATCCAGGTTTGAATCCAGGTGTTCAAAGTGAGAACTCTACCCCCTTTACAATCCTTCCTCCTCCACAATTGAGTATCACCATGGTTCCAAATACCTATGTTCACAAGGCCTACTTCTTGTGAATAGAATCCAGTTTCTTCCTAGTCTCAAGCCTTCTTCATTTAAGTTCCCAGGTCCTAAAGGTTCTTATTCAGTTTCCCTATCTCTTTTCCTGTTAGACTCAGGCCCTTTACTCCAAACATAGCCCAATGGTTTGAAATATACCACCTATTCAGACATCTTGCCTTGTAGGATCTCACTGTTATGTCAGACACTTGGGTAGACATTCTGTTCTTCCTGACTGTCTTGAGGCCTGTGCTCTTGGAACTACCCCTTCTTCAACCTATTTCCAGGCTTTGGTCTCACCTCCTTTTCTCTGAGGCACAATGACAAGAACATAGATTTAGTTATACATGTTAATTTCCAAATACCAGTTCTGACAATAACTGGATGTATTTTAACTTATTTGACCTCCAGTTTCTTGCTGTTAAACACATACATGTTTACCATATAGAGCTATTTTAAGGTTTACATTCAATGAAATTATATAAGTAAATTTCCTAGCAGAATGCCAGGAATGAAGCAGATACTTAGTGAATTTTGACTGTTATTGTCATTGTTACAATATATTTTTCTTCCTGTACGGACCCAAGTTACCCAGGGGAAAAATGTGTCCCTTGACCAATGTATTTTCACATGACTCCTTGAGATGTGAGAAATATAAGCATATTAAAGGTATTAAGATTTTGGGGGAGTAAATTTACTTTAAAATTATATACTAATATCCCCATGTAATACAGCATAAACTCTGGGAAAACTTATCCTCAGAGAAGTCATCCATTGTCTTCCATCTGATCTTCTGAATAGGGAAGCCATGCCATAGGCACCAATATTCTATTAATTTATAGTGGCACTAGAAGTTACCATAAAATAAACACCATGGTCAAACTAGTAAGACATGTCTGTTTAAAGTCAAGAACGCTAACTAATGATGAAACCTAAAGCAAATATATTTTGATAAAAATTATTTCAATTTTAGAACATGACAAGGTAAAAAAAAGTTCAATGAAGACTTTTTTAGGCAAAAAAAAAGAAAAATTGAGAGGATATGACACCAGCAGATTGCAATAAAACATTAAAGGGCATTTTTTTTTAAGCAGAAGAAAAATAATCCTAGGTAGAAGCCCAGAAATAAATAAAAAAAATGAAGAGAAAGGTAAAAATATAGGTAAATCTTAATGAATACTGACTGCACATAACTATAATGTCTTATGAGATCTGACATATATGTAGGATTAAAATATACAACTTCAAAAACATAAAAATGAAATGAGATTAAATGGAATAAAATGCCCTAAAATCCCTGTATTGTTTGGAAAGAAGGGGGGGAAAAAAACTCTATTGGGTTAGCCAAAAAGTTCATTCTGATTTTCTCATAAGATGGCTCTAACTTAGTTGTCTTTAACTTCATTTGAAACAATTTTGGTAGACTGTATTGTGACAGCTATCCTATCAGTGTGCATTTAAGAAAACTTATCAAAATTGGTGAATTTTTATGTAGCCATTTTAATATTGAAGATGCAAGAAAATAATGCAACATTTTCAGCATATTATGCTTCATTATTCCAAGAAAGGTAAAAATGCAACTGAAACACAAATAAGATTTGTGCAGTGTATGGAGAAGGTGCTGTGACTGATCGAACATATCAAAAGTGGTTTGCAAAGTTTCATCCTGGAGATTTCTTGCTCAATGATGCCCCACATTTGGGAATACAAGATGAAGTTGGCAGTAATAAAATCAAGACACTAACTGAGAACAATCAATGTTCTACCCCATGGGAGATAGCCAGCATACTCAAAATATCCAAATCAATCAAGTTATTGGTGAAAATGAAAAATGTGTCTTTTATTTTATAGAAAAAAACATGGACTTTTTGGCCAACCTAATACATTACACTGCTAAATCAAGAACACATGGTTTAATCTCAAAGTTAACCACTTAACAAATAATTTAAAATTTATAATTACCAAGTGATTAGAGAGGAAAATAGAAAAATAAATGATATACTTAAAGGGAGACATAAATGGGGAAAAATAGAAAACAGATAAGACACTTGCAGTTAGATGATAAATTTAAACATTAAGTAATTGTATTACATAGAAATGAACTAAATATTCCAAAAGACACAGTCAAATTAGTTAAAACAATCATGCTAGTTATAATAAGAACAAAAGTATTACAGTGAGCGGATGAAAAATGATATACCATGTAAACATTAACTAAAAGAATTATGCCAAAGTAGTATTAATTATCAGAAAAAATAAACTAAGACAAAAACCATGAATAGAGATTTAAAAAAGACACTTCATAATGATAAAAAAGTTCCAATTTTCTAAAAAGATATCAAAGTTCTAACATGGTACTTATCTAATACTGCAGTTTCAAAATACATAAAGAAGAAATTAAAGAAACTAAAATAAATCTACAATCACACCGGAGACTTTAAAAAAAATCTTCCTCAATAAGCAATAGAATAAGTTGACAATCAAGTACATAGATTTTAGCAACATAATTAAAAAATGACATACCTAGAACTTCACTCAACACCTATCTACTACACATTTTTCCAAGTGCATACAAAATGTTTACAAAAATTGGCCATACCGTAAAGCAAGTTTTAAGAAATTTGCAAAGACTGCAATCATACAGAACATTTTCTCTGACCACAGTAGCATTTAAGGTAAAAAGATTACTAAAAAAACCCCATATAGTACAAAATTAAGAAAAATACTTCTCAATAACCTGAGGACAAAGGACATAACATGGGAAATTATCAAATACTTTGAACTCAGTAATTATGAAGGTACTACATAAAAAAAGGTGTGATGCAGTCTTGATAGCCTTAAATACATTATGAAATAATGACTGAAAATCAATGATATATGTATCCAACTCAAGAGGTGAGAAAATACCCACAAATTAAACGGTAAGAAGGAAAAAAAATGAATAAAACATATCAAACATGCAATAGAAATGATAAAAATTCTTCTTTAAAAGCTAAATAAGATTTGATAAACCCTAGCAAGACTGATTAAGATAAAAGAGAGAAGACAAAAAAAATTAATCTCAGAAATAAAAAAGGAGACATCACTTCAGATCCACATAGACATTTAAAAGATTAAACAGAATAGTATGCCAAATAATTTAAATTTTAGATTACACAGATCAATTCCTAGATAAACCTAATTTACTAAACTGAAACAAAAAAGCAAAAGCTCTGGCTGGTGTGGCTCAGTGGATTGAGCGCCGACCTGTGGACTGAGAGGTCACAGGTTCGATTCCCAGTCACAGCACATGCCTGGTTTGCTAGCCAGGTCCCCAGTTAGGGATGTGAGAGAGGTAACCAATTACTGTTTCTCCCGCACATCTTGTTTCTCTCCCTCTCTCCCTCCTTTTTCTTCTCTCTAAAAATAAATAAGGAAATCTTTAAAAAGAAAAAAAATGGGATAGAGTTCTACAACTACAAAAGGAATAGAAGCTGTATTTAAACACCTTGCACAATAAAAGCTTCAAGTCAATATGGCTTCCCTGGTGAATTCTATGTACCATAAAATATATAACTTTCCCTCTCTCACCATTCTTTATTGTTGTCACAATAAGCTAATGGCCTTGCTTTGTACTTTACTGAGAATCCACATGCTATTATAATAAAAAGCCTCCATTGTACCACTACCAGTTGACCTGTATCTGTACCATCTCCTCTGGGCGTCCTTCCTATCAAAGGTAAATCCCTCCTTTTCCATTCTAGATTTTCATCCCCTTTCACCTTTTCAGACACTTGAGTTCTTCAGTGACCTCATCTTTGTCTTGCAACATCAATTTCTCCCTTTCCACTGGGGCATGATTCTGATCTATACTCGAGCATGCCATAAAATTTCCCATCTCAAACATGAAGGAGTTTTTCCTAGTTCCATACTTTTCTCTAGTTACTGCCCCATTTCTTTTTCTTTCTTCATGGCGAGGTGGGGTGGGGAGGGAATCCTTTTCTAAAGATCTATCTCCAATGTCTATTTTTCATTCACTTTCTTTAAAAAATACATAATATTTGATATATGGAAACAATGTGAGTAACACATACCCAGTTTTGGATGTCATCATAACAAAATGAATACTCAAATGAACTAAAATTCACTCACTTCCTTCCAACTCCACTGCTACCATACTAATAAAATTTACTATCATCTCTTGCACAGACTATTGTTAACAGCCTCTTTACTGATTATTTATGCCCTTAAATTCAATTTCCATAAACAGAGTTATTTCCTGAAAATCCTTGATTAAAATCTTTCAATGACTGCATACTCACTTTAATCAAAATCAAAACTCCTTACCATCATGTACAAATTCCTGAACAGGCAGTCTCCTGTCTCAATGATCTTATTCTATACCAGTCTCCCTCTCATTTATGTTTCAATTATAGCAGCTTCCTTTGATTTCTGTAACACAGTACATTGTTTTCTGTATCAGGTATTTGCCTGCTATGCTCCCCTTTTCTTCTTCCCGTGGCTGGCTTCTTCCAATCCTTCAAGTTTCAGCTTAAAGTCATCTCCTCAAGAGAAGCCTTCCTTGACCACACTATTTGAAGGAGGCAGCCTCATTCCCCATCCCAGTCCCTCTTTCCCACTTTATTTCATAGCTAAAAGTTATTACAATCATTATTTAGCTTGTTTTTGTCTATTTACAAAAATTAATCTTCATGAGAGCAGGGACTGTGTCCATCTTACAGCTGTACACCTAGCACCTAACTGTGTATGTGTGTATAATTGTGCATATATAACTGATTCCATTTTAAAACTAATCCTCCTGAACCCTTAATCCCTTCCCCTTTCCCCCTGGGTGGACTATGAATGTGTACAGAGACTCCAGGTTAATCACAAACTACCATTAATCCTTCCTCCACCATCAGTCCTTCCTTTTTGGTAAGGTGCCCTCAATGTTTTCTTGCCCTTGCACCAGAGCCCCCAGTATCTGGTCCCTTTGTTCCCCTTGATCACCATGCATTCCTTTCAGAGTACTTAGGTCCACTTCTTAGGGGGGCATCAAACAGGTGGTCTGGGGGCTGAATGGGGCAAGGGTCCATTTCATCCTGCTGTCTGCCACGTGCCACCCAGGACTATCTGTCTATAAGTTCCCTGTTAGAACTCTTTAAACTGACAGGGTAGACTTGTCTGCCTTGTTCTTTGGCCTCTCGAATCCCTTAGCATTTGGGGGCTGCTTTTGTATACATGACCTTTTCATGAAATACTAACCCAGTTCACAGTATACAGATATTTAATAAACACTGATTTAAAAAACACTGTATGTTGATTCTCAAATGATTTCTTGTTTGTATTCTCAATTAGTTAAGAACCTGGGAGAAGGCCTAAATCTGAGAGATTGTCAAGAATCTCCAAGACTGTTCTGTATTCTCAATTAGTTAAGAACCCCCAAAATTTTAGCAGGTTTATAGATAAAGAAAGTTAAATAATGACCTAGTAAGTTTAGCTTAAAAGAAATCAGTGCTCATTCTCAAGAAAGCATTTTCAGAAAAATTAATGTAGGAAAAGGATATCAGAAAATGGTTAAAGAAAAAAATGTAAATTTAATTGGAGAAAGTAGAATTGAAAGGGATGATTTATGCATGTTTAGATGAAGAAATAATAAAATAATAATTAAAATCATGAATCCAAGAAAGCAAAGTAGGCTGGCACAGGAATCAAAAGTAGAGGACAGAGAGAGGGGGAGAGGGAAAAAAGGGAGGGAGAGAGAAGGAAGAAGGGAGATAGGGAAGAAGATATAGTGAGAAAGAAAGAGGGAGAATCTTCTCCTCTGAGATAGCTTTGAGAAAAGATACTCTTCAAAATATTTCAGATACTCTGATTCAACCATGGAATAAATCCCATCTTCCCAGTTCTTATAAACTCACCTGGATAGGAGGTTCTTGAAATTTCTCTCACTACCACCCATGGTCCTTTTCCATCCTCCAAATGAGATATCATATCTGGTTTGGAAACTGCAAGCCCTATTCAGAGAAGAATGAATAGGGTTTGACCATGTCTATGAACAAGAACTATTGCCAAATTCAGTCTCAATTCTTGATCTCTTGTGCAGAGTAGCTATTATAGGAAGTTCTAGACATGTGCTGTCCAATACACTTGCCAGTGGCCACATGTAGCTATTTAAATTTGAATTTAAATTAGTTAAAAGTATATAAAATTTAAACTTTAGTTCTTCATTTGGACTAGTCACATTTCAAGTGCTCAAGAGCCACAAGTGCCACAAGTGCTTGCCATATGGGACAACACTGATATAGAACATTCCTACTACAGGAGAACATTCTACTGTACAATGGGTACTATTGAGAACTACAAAGGTACCTCAAAGAATCTCAATACTATGATCCCAAGTTAGTTGGGATAACAGATCATGCAAATAATGTTTAGAAAGAAAAAGGAACAAACATATTTGGAGGCACTGGTAACTCATTTATGGAAATACCTAAAAAAACTTTAGTCCCAAATCTCAGGCAGTCAACAATTTTCAAGATTCCAATGAAACATGTATTTCATACTCTACAATGCGTAGACTATTTAATTAAGAGTGAGGGCTAGCCTAACTCCCAATAAGATGCTCCTGAGATTATGAAATTTTATGCCAAAATTCAGTTAAATACTTTAGAGGCTCTATTTCCTCATGGGTAGATACATGAACAAAGAAGTTATCCTTACCCAAGGAGACAAGGTTCCTGTAATTCTCTAGCATCACATCCTTGTGCAGGTCCCTCTGTATAGGATCCATCAACCTCCACTCTTCCAATGTGAAGTCTATAGCAACATCTTTAAATGTCACAGAATCCTAAAATAATACACTGTGTTCACCCAGGGACTGTACAATAAGACCTGTTAGGCAGGATAATTCATACAAAATTGGGGAAGAACTCTAAAAACCAGAATCACCAAAGTCAACCAGTTCAACCCTTAAAGGATGTATGAGTCTGCTGAGCGACAAGAACTTAAACCCACAACAGGAAGCCCATTCTATTTTTAGTTTTACCTAACAGCAGGGCTTTTTCCAGACTAATTAAAATCTGGATTTCTATAACTACTAAATATTGGTCCTACTATATTATCTGGAGTCAAATAGCATGGTCTCCTCCTTCCCTAGGAAGTCCTTAAAGTATTTGATAACAGCTAGTAATTTCTACCTAAATCATCTTTTCTTCTTCAAAATCCTTGCTTATGTATAATATTAACTGTCTTTCAGTTCCAATATATAAAATATGGCTTGTCAAAAGATAATTATCAGATGACAGATTAAGAATATTATAAGCTTGCTCTTTGAGAAATAAAAATAAGAAATCACAGAACTTTGTGGAACTTCTTTAGTTAGGATATGAAATATGTATGCTATTGTGTAAAAAATGGAAGCATTATCCATAAAAATTTTAATGGTTTCCTACTGGAAGGAGAAAACAGAGTGCAGAAAATGGAATAGAAGCCAGACTCCACAAGAAAATATTTCTTGTTTTGTAGGTTTGACTTTTGAACCACGTGAATACTTTATTTATAAAAGAAATACTTAAATTTAAAAATAATCTACAAACCTGTTTGTATAAAAAATAAACAAAATGTAAAATAGTATGGGAATATGGTACTTTTCTACTATGACATATAAAGCATCTGAAAAACTACTATTGCACAAAACAAGTAGTCCAGAGTAATTTTCTATGCCACAAGATGAAACCATAGTGGAAAAAATTAAATAAAAAGTTATATCTTGCCCTGTTATGGCTCAGTTGGCTGGGCACTGTCCCACAAAGCAAAAGGTCGCTTGTTCAACTGCTGGTCAGGGCAAATGCCTGAGATGCAGGTTTGATGCCGAGTCAGAGCATGTATAGAAGGCAACCAATTGATGTTTTTCTCTCTCCTTAACGTTTCTCTCCCTTTCTCCCTCCCTTCCCCTCTCCCTAAAAATAAATACAATCTTTTTTTAAGAAAAGTGTTATCTTGTTCTTTCCCTCAGCATATGACCCCCAAATGTTTGTAATCCTCCCTACCACATTCTCCAAATAGTCTTAAAAACCCAAGCAATAGGGATGTACTATATCAATTTACCACACTAACTTTCTTGAAAAATTGGTGTATTACTTTAAAAAGATGTTTCCAACAACAACAAAAGGAATCTCTAAAAATTAGTAATAAAATGAAACTAGTTGGTAGCATACACATTCATCAAAAAGAAATTATTTTGAGTGACTTTATCTCACTCATATTCAGAATATCCCTGTTGAGATACACCCCACGGAGAAAAAGAACCACAAATAACATGTTTCAATTGAAAAATCATATTGTTGGTGGTAGTGATGAAAATGCTATTTTGTAACTGTTGTTTGTGTAGTGTTAAATAAAGCAAATTAGTATATTGATGTCACTGAGAAGACTATATTTGGCACATGAAAAATAAGAAATAAATCTAACATTGAGAATACATGAAACTCCACAGATCCAAATTGGAGTTGGAAATATCGGTCTAAATTTGAGTTATTTTATTTCTTATAATTGTTTTATTCTCATGTGAGGACATTTTTTTCATTGCTTTTCAGTGAGAGGGAGAAAGGGAAAAAGGGAAGGAGAAAAGGAGGAAAAAAGGAATAAAGAGAGGTAAGGGGAGGGGCAAGAGACAGATCTATGTGAGAAACATCGATTGGTTGCCTTCTATGTGCCCCAACTAGGAATCAAACCCACAACCTTGAGTATGTGCCCTGACAGGGATCGAATCCACAATCTTTTGGTCTACAGGATGATGCGCCAACCAACTGAGCCAAACTGGCTAGGGCTGAGGTATTTTATTTTTAAGGAAAAAATATATATCTCCTAGCTTTGTCCATTGAAAAGGCCTCGAAACAATACCCATATAAAAGCATTATGGAGGCCAGACTGTGGCCTCTATATGCTACTTTCCACTGAAAGGAATCAGGGCCTGGAATTTCCTGTCATACTAAATAGCAAAGAAGCTATCAAAAACTGCTAGGATCATGTCTAAGACATGAGACAATATGAAGACACTTCCGTTGGCCAATGGTGGAACAATCTGAGCATTAATAAGGGTAATAGCTATAATGGATTTCAAAAATATACATTTAAGTTCATGATTTAATAATAAAATTATAAAAATACTCATTGATCATCTTTGGAGGGTGTTTGGAAACTGGTAAATAAATATCAACTTCTTGTCCTTTTTCTATGCAAAGTATATATAGTTTGTATAGTATTCAAGTGTGATCAAATAATTGATATGGGGAGGTTTCTCTTTATGAAAGCACTCCAGCTAGTACATGAAGAGAAACTAAAAATGGAACTGCCTTTTGATCCAGTGATTCCAATGCCGGGATTATACCCTAAGAATCCTGAAACACCAATTCAAAAAAGGCTATGCACCCCAATGTTCATAGCAGTGCTACCTACAATAGCCAAGTGCTGGACACTGCTTAAGTGCCCATTAGTAAATGAGTGGACAAAAAAACTGTGGTACATTTACACAACGGAATCGTACACAGCAGAAAGAAAGAAGGAACTCCTACCCTTCACAACAGCAAGGATGGAACTGGAGAGTATTATGCTAAGTAAAATAAGCCAGGCAGTGAAAGACAAATACCACATGATCTCACCTATATGTGGAACCTAATCAACAAAACAAACAAACCAGGAAAACAGAACCAGAGACATAGAAATAAAGAACTGACAGTGACCAGAGAGGAGGAGGAGGGGATAACAGGGGCAAAAGGTGAAGGGTCAAGTCAAGGAACATGTATAGAGAGAGAGCTCCCATGGTCATGGACAAGGGGGTGCGGACTGACTTGTGGGAGTGGCATGGGGGCATGGGTCGGGCAGGGGAGAACAATGGGGAAAAATGTGGCACAACTGTAAGTGAACAACAATAAAAAAAAGAATTAGAACATCACCATTTTGCAATCTTTAATGAATTAAAAAATTGTAAGTGGTTGCTGTAAAATTAACAAGATACTTTATTTTTGATACTATGTTATTAAAACATAATGAGTATTTTAAATTTACAGTACATCTGTAAATGGGAAGTCACATTTCAAGGGCTCGACAGCCATGTGTACGTGTGGGTTGTGTCTACTGCACTGGATAAACCAGCTCTAAAATACAAACGCTGGTTTCTTCAATGAATGATTACAAGGGGAGGAAAAAGAGAGAGTGGGAAATCTCTAGATTTAAAGTGACCAAACAGATATTAACTAATTAAAAATAACAATCAACTAGGGAAATAATTACCAATTCAGTATTTGATAATATTAAGGCTGTGAGTTTTTTAGCTGTTGACCCTTGGACAACACAGGTTTGAATTGCACAAATCCACTTATACATGGATTTTTTCAATAAACACATACAGTACTATAAATGTATTTTCCTTATAATTTTCTTAATAACATTTTCTTTTATCTAATTTACTTTGTTTTAAGAATATAGTGTATAGCCCTGGCTGGTGTGGCTCAGTGGACTCAGTGCCAGCCCGTGAACCAAAGGGTTGCCAGTTCGATTCCCAGTCAGGGCACATGCCTGGGTTGCACACCAGGGTTGTGAGCGTCCCTGGTAGGGGCCCTTGAGAGGCAACAACACACTGATGTTTCTCTTCCTCTCTTTCTCTCTCCCTTCCCCTAAAATTAAATAAATCTTTAAAAATAAAAAATACAGTATATAATATATCTAACATATAAAGTATGTGTTAATTGACCGTGTTATCAGTAATGCTGTTAGTAGTTAAGTTCTAGGGGAGTCAAAGTTATATGCAGATTTTTGACAGCATTGGGGTTAAAGGCCCTAACCCCTGCATTGTTAAAGAGTCAACTGTATACTTAACATTTAAAAATAATCTGTTAGAGATTACATAATTAAATATTTATAGATAATATTATATAAGGTCTTATATTTGCTTCAAAATATTTAGTGAGGGATGGTAGGGTTACAGACAAAATGTGATTGTCCATGTGTTGAAACCTGTTGAAGACAGGTTCAACAAGATTCATCAAACTACTCTCTCTACTTCTGTGTAAGTGAAGTGCATAATACTTGTTAGGTACTGATCAAAGGACTTTTTATGTAATGATTGAATCCTCACAATAGATAGGTGCTATCCACAGATCAGGAAAGTGAGGCATGGAGGAGTTAGGTGTTTTGCCTAAGTTCACAAAAGAGACAAAGCAAATCCAGGCAGTCTGGCCCTAGAATTCAAGCTTGTAATCACTACTCAATGATTTATTAAATTAAGAGCCCTTATTAGCTCACTAATCAGGCAAAAGTCTCACCTTACATAATATTTGGCTATGGTCTGCTCTCTATCAGAAGATACATTTCCAGCCCTGGCTGGTGTGGCTCTGTGGATTGAATGCCAGTCTGTGAACCAAAGGGTCGCCAGTTGGACTCCCAGTTAGGGCACATGCCTTGGTTGTGGGCCAGGTACCCAGAACGGGGCATGGGAGAGGCAACCACACATTGATGTTTCTCTCCCTCCCTACCCCTCTCTCTAAAAATAAATTTAAAAATTTAAACAAAACAAAACAAAAAATGTTAAAAAAGAAACAAAAAAACAAAGATCTATTTCCTCAGTGGTGTTTTCCTGCTAAATACCTGCCGAACTGTTTAAAGCCTTTATCTGGACCTCAAAATTTGTAAAGCATGTTTTATACAATTCTGCCAATAATAAAACATGGCTACTGTGGGAAATAATAAGTTTATAAACTTTATAGATAATCACTTCACACATAAATTATAATAAATTTACTGCACTTGTGTTCTTTTTCCACCAAGAGGTAAGCCCCAGGAAAAATCCAAGAAGGCCCTCAACTCTCATCTCTGGCTTACCTTGAGGTTCTCTACAAGCAGGAAGTAAAGGAAGGATAAGGAAAAGTTGTCAACTGCCCACCTAAGAATAGAAGGTATGCCCAAAACAAACAAAAGCCTTAGTGGCTTAAGATTTAAGGAAATCTATGTCTAATCATTAACTAATCACTATGTTAACCAGAGATTTCAGTGGCCATATATGATAAAGAATACAAGTTTCACTGAATTAGTTCAGAAAAGTCACTAAATAAACAAAATAGTTGCAGCAGCAATAACATAAAAAAACAAACTTCAACAGTAAACCCTGGGGAGGGGAGAACTGATTTACAGAGTTGCCACATTTTATTATTTCAAATACCACATTTTCAACAAAAATTACAAGACACACAAAGAAACAGAAAAGCATGAACCATAGGTAGAAAAAAACACAGTCAATGAAAACTGTCTTGAGGAAAGCAAGAAGTAAATCAGCCACTGTAAATATGTTCGAAATCCTAAAGAAAACTAGATCTAAAGGATTAAAAGAAATTATGAGAATGATATCTCATTAAATAGAAATTCTGGAGTTGAAAAATACAATAACTGAAATGAAAAAATTCTTTAGAAAGGTTCAGTGAAGCGAAACAGCAAATTTGAACAGTATTAGGGTCTGAACGTTTGTGTCTTCCAAACTTGATATGGTGAAATCTTATTGACCAATGTAATGGTATCAAAAGGTGGTGCCTTTGGGAGGTGCTTAAATCATGATGGTAGGACGATCATGAATGAGATTAGTTTCTTACAAAAGAGAGGCTCCAGAGAAAAGTCTTAATCCTTCCACCATGTGAGGATATGATGAGAAGTCTGTGACCTGGAAGAGACCCCTCACCTGACCATGCTGGCATCCTTATTTTGAACTTCAGTCTCCAGAGCTGTGAGAAATAAATTTATTCCCATTGAGGGAACTTCCACATCTCTTTCCTCCTGTCCTAGTCCCAGAGCTTATAAAGATGAACCCACAGGGGCTGGCTGAGAGAGAGGAGGAAAGTTTGTTCCAGAAGGAACTATCTGAGGGATCATAAGAATTTCTAAACATGAAAAGTGGAGGAATAAATCACTTGCCAAAAAATCATTGTATATTTTTCCAGGTCTAAAAAAAGAACAAAGCATGCATAATGGAATCCAACAGCTGGAGGATATCAAAAAGGGAATTTTCAAGTCATTTCTTGTATAACAGTTCAAATTAGCATACAACAATTTCAGTCTTCCTATCAATAAATAAAAGCTATTTTTTTAACCTTCAAAAAATGTGTTGTTTACAGGTCATCCAGTCTGCTGTTTTAATACAGAAGCCTGAACAGACTAAGATAAGCAGGAAGAATTATTGGTGACCTTGAAGCTCAATTGAGATGATCCAGACTGTAGAACAGAAACAAAAAAGAATGGGGGAAAAAAAATGAACAGAGCTTCAGACATCTGTGGGTAAATAAGAATTCTAATATATGCATATTGGGAATCCAAGCAAAAGAGGAAAGAGAGAAAGAGGAAGAAGGAATCTTTGAAGAAATAATGGCCCAAAACTTCCTTAATTTGATGAAAAACATTAACCTTCACATACAAGAATCTCAATGAACGCCAAGTAGGAAAAAAACAAAGAGATTCATGCCTAGCTACATCACAGTCAACTGGTAAAAGAGGAAGAGAGAATCTTCAAAGCAGCAAGAAGGGACTTCTTATGTACAAGGGATCCTCAATAAGACTGTCAGCGAATTTCTCATCAGAAACCAATGAGGCTAGGAGGCAATGGTATAACACCCAGAATGCAGAAAGTGTTGTTAAGAAATGTCAACAAAGAATTCTACATGCAGCAAAACTATCCTTCAAAAATAATGATAAACAAAAACTTAGTGAAATCACTGCTAGCAGATCTGACCTACAATAAATATAAACAAGTATCCTTCCAGTGAAATGAAAGGACAACTAAACAGCAACAAATCTGCATGAAGAAATACTACCAATAAAGGTAGCTAAATAAAAATGTATTTTGTTTGTAATTGTTTCTTATTTAAAAGACAACTGTATAAAGTAATAATTATAAAATTGTGTTGATGGAATTATAATGTATAGAATAGGTGTAATTTGTATGACAGTAATAGGAGGGAGAAGGGAATGGAGCTATATTGAAGCAAAGATTTATATATTATTAGAACTAAGTTGGCATTAATCTGAATTACATTGTTTTATACCAAGATGTCAATTATTGGATTGGCTAAAAAGCCTGTATGGCTTTTTTCTATAAAATAAAAGACACATTTTTCATTTTCACCAATAACTTTATTGATTTGGACATTATGAGTATGTTAGCTATCTCAGAAAGAAAATACCAACTAAAAGGGCTTCTGGTGGCTAACTGGGATCAGACAAACAAAAAAACCCGCCACCAACAAAAAAGAGCCCAGCCATTTCTACACAGGGGCATCTCATGTAAACTGCACCTCACAGACAAGCCTGCACTGAACTGCCTGCCTGCACTGTGTTTCTGCCACCTGCGCCAGCCCATATTAAGGAGTTCCTGGAATCCTATTTCAACCAATAGGACTGAGGCTTTCCCCATCAAACTGGAGCTGTGCAGATCTGACCAGTCTGAGCAGTTCTATTCTGACCAATGAGGACAGTGCCTTTTGGATCAATCAAACTGCAAAGATTCGGTGTCCTCATTTGCATGAAGAAGGACCAATCAGGGACCAGGGTTAAGGACTTCTGTCTATATAAGCTAGCTCTCTTTCGGCTTGGGGACCACACACAGCCTTTCCACTGAAGACTGAAGACTGTTTTCCCAGCTAGAGCTGAAAGGCGGAACATATCTTCCTGGAGCAGAGCAGACCCCACCAAAGCAGAATAGAGCTGCCTCGCTGAAGAGGCACCTGGCCTCAGGGTTGTCTCACAGCAGGGCTGTTTTCACAGTTGTGCCATGTCACCATTGAGGTGTTTTGCACTAGATAAGGTTTTCTTCTTCACTGCACCCCAAACTGGGGTATTCCTGTTGGTGTTGAATTGGCACCAACAACAATGGGTTAAAAATTTCAAAAGACTGAAGTCATACAAAGTATCATTTATGATCACAATGCACTGGAACTATAAATCAATGAGAAAGAAAGCTAGAAAATTCACATATACGTAGAAATTAAACAACAGACTTTTAAACAAACGGGTCACAGAAGAAATCACAAGAGAATTTAGAAAACACTCTGAGACCAATTAAAATGAATATTATATACCAAAACTTGTGAAATACAGTGACAGCAGAGCTCAGAGGGAAACATACAGCTCTAGAATACCTACATTAAAAAAGAAGATATCAAACCAATAACCTAAATTTACAGCTTGAAGAACTTGAAAAGAGTGAACTATATACTTTTTTAAAAAGCAGAAGAAAATAAATATCAGAATGAAGATAAACAAAATAGAGAACAGAAAGACATGAGAAAATCAACAAAAGCAAAATTTGGTTCTTTGAAAAAATCACAAAAATGACAAACCCTTAGACTGACTAAGGAAGAAAAGAAGGCTCAAGTTACTGGAGTCAGATATGAAAAAGAAGACATTAGTACTGACAGTACAGAAATAAAACGATTATAAAGGACTAAAATATGAACAACTGTATGCCAACAAATTAGATAACGTAGATGAAATGGACAGGTTCCTAGTAAGACACAAACTACCAAGACTGACTTAAGGCAAAGAAAATCTGAATAGATATGTAAGCAAACTTCCCACAAATACAAGCCCAAGTTCAACTGGCTTCACTGGTGAGTTCCCACATACATTTTCAGAAAAATTAACACCAGTCCTTCACCAACTTCTCCAAAAAATAGAAAGAAACAATTTCCAACTCAATCAATGATGCCAGTATTACCAAACAAGACAAAGATACCACAAGAACACTATAGACCAGTATCTCCTATGACTATATACACAAAATTCTCAACAAAATATTAGCAAACTGAATCCAGCAACAAAGAGTACTATACACAGACAAACTGGATTTATCCAGGAATACAAAGTTGATTTACTATCTGAAAATCAATCAAGGTAATATACCATATTAATATAATAAGTAACTAAAGCCACTCCATCATCTTGATAAGACTCAGAAAAGTATTTGACAAAAACCAACAAACTTTGTCCAACATGATTAAGACCATTTATGAAAACCCAAATCTAACATTATACTTTATGGTGAACAACCATATGCATTCCCCTGAGACTCAGAAACAAAGATGTCCTGTCCCCTTACTTCTGTTCAACACTGTATTGTAAGTTTTAGCAAGGGAAATTAGACAAGAAAAGGGGATAAAATGTACCCAGATTGGAAAGGAAGCAGCAAATTTCTATTTGCAAATGACATAATCTCCATTTACAGATGACATTATCTTGTATATAGAAAATCCTGAAGAATCTCCAGACATACACAGGCAAAAAGCCTTATTAGAACTAAAACTGGTTCAACAAGGTTCAGGATACAAGATCCATATATTTAAGACAATTATTTCTACACACTAGCAATGCAAATCCCATAAAGAAATATAAAAGAAACCTATTTAAAGTAGCAATCCCCCCCCGACCAAAAACAAACAAACGAACGAACCCAGGAACAAGAAATGTGCAAGACTTATCCACTGAAAACTATAAAACATCACTGAAACTAAAGAATACCTAAATAAGAAGACATCCCATATTCTTTCTATTGGAAAAGTTAATATTGTTAAGACAGCAATATTTCCCAAACTGATTAACAGATTCAGTCAACATAAGCCCTATGAAAATACCATCCGCCTTTTTTTTTTGCAGAAATAGAAATGTTAAAAATTATTAAAATATAGATCCTACTCAAATTAAAATTAAAGCTAAGTTCAGTACTTATAAGCAGGATGCAGAATTTAAGGAAAAGCCAGAGAGAATTAATCCTCTGCTAGAGACTCCCTATGTCAAAAACACAAAAATAAACCATATGATGTATTCACCATATCAAAAATTATGATATTTTCCTAAGATTCATAATTCAAAGTCTGAAATTAGGAACATTTTAAAGTATAAACTGTCATATGTTAAAGAATACTGTAAGACTCATCAGTCCAGTAATAAATTTCAAAAAATTAATGTTTAAGACTGAATCTCAGAATGTACTTTCTCATAAAAACAAAAAGAAAAACCCATTTTTACACAAAACATTTTTGGAATACAACCAATTTTCAAAATATAATTTTCAAAAACTTAAAGACATAAATCTAAAAAAGAAAGTGGCTAAACTTCTACATAACTTTTTAAAAACCTTAATTCTCCTAAAAATATAATCAACACATGTTATATCAAAGATGCTCTAAGTCCTTAATAAGAGATAAGCAGCTTGACAAGCTGGCTCAAAGCAGATATAAGAAGCAGATGTGTAGATGGTGGAAAAGACGCTAAATCAAGACTGCAAAATTAAGACAGAAACATGGTAAATGTCCTACAGGACAATAAAACTGTAACTTACGGGGTTATCTTTTCTCCTAGGTAGAAATAAATTGCAAGTTTTCAATATTCTGCAAGTTAACATCTAACTTTAAGGGTCTGAATATTAATCAGTAATAAATACTAAATTAAACAACAAAACCTTCCCTGCTATGTCAGATGACCATCAGACAGACAAGCTGGTTAGATAATGGTTGAATGCAACATTGAAAGGGTATATCTTTTTATTTATTTCTAAATTTTAGATAATTTTTCTTAACAATTTATTAATTTCTGATTTTGATATTTTCCATAAACTTAATGAAATAAAAAATATCTAAACAAACTAAAGTGATCTTAAAAATGGAAATATTATTATATATACACATTAGAGAGAGGGGGAGGGGGTAGAGAGAGAGAACAATTGGGGGCTCTCAGTATGCATCCAGACCAGGGATCAAACCCACAACTTTCCTGTATCTATATTGTGCCCTGACTGGTGATTGAACCCAAACCTTTTGGTGCATGGGATGACGTTCCAAGCAACTGAGCAGGGCAAGAGTGGAAATATTCTTAAGGAATAGGAACTGATGTTGATGTATTTTTGGCATTTTTAATGATATTGAGTCTTACAATGTGAAGCAAAAATCAGCCTATGTGATATAAGATACTTCATTATTAGCCAATATGATGTGACTATCTGCCAAATTAGTGTTGGCACTACTGAGAGAAAATAAATTTGTCAAACTGATGCTACCAGCCCTGGCGTTACCACAGCTATCACTTGCAATGAACTGGTAATATTAAGAATTAGGGGCCGTGAAAGAGGAGCATTCTCTTTATTTCCTTTGCATGCAATGGTAAGCATTACCTTTACCAATTCTGGTTCTTCTACTCGAAAATGAAGATCTTCATCTGGGTGGGAAACTTCAGGACTCTGAGAGATAAAGGGTAAGATAACTCAATGAAAGGATGCCCATGACATTCAACAGAGACTCAAAAAGCACCAGGAATCCACTGTGGACGTGGCATGTAAGAGATGACTTCCTTCACTGTTTTATTTAGGGCTGATATCAAGGCCCCATAGTAACACCTAATTATAATCTTCTTTCACCTTGCTTGAGACAGTAACAAACGCACAAAACTGAGAAAGAAATAACTGTACAGTGTTTAAAGGAAGCTTTTAACAAAGAACCTATCAAAACAAAAATAAACTGTTAATAAGGGGCCTTTAGATGCTACATAATTCTCCTTTTTCATATGAGAATTAAATCTATTTCTCAGAAAGTATCTATCTTGCTCAAAAATAATATTAAAAACTTACTAACACCATCTGTTTTCTACAGTTGAAACATTACAGTGTTTGGGAAGGAGGCATGACTCAGAATTCAGGAAATATTTTCAGGGACCTCTCGTAACATTGTTTTCTTACAAACCTTAGGAACTATATCCCTACAAGGGCCTGATTTTATAAATAAAATGAAATTTTACCATACCTTCTAACAGCACTTACCAATTTTAGATTTTGTGCCATTAAATAAAAATATGGGTAAAAGTATTTACTTAAATTTTACTGAGAGAAATATTATCTTAGTGCTCCCCTCCCAGGTTTGTACAATGATGTGAATTTCAATCTCTCATAAATAGGAATGGGTTTGATCAGCCCAATACTAGACACATACTCTAGATCTACTAATCAAGTATAATATTTTGGCTTTCTTTTTTTCTTTTATCCTCACCCAATGACATTTTTTTCATTGCTTTAAAAAAAAGGGGAAGGGACAGAGGGAGAGAGAGAAACATTGATGTGAGAGAGAAGCATCAATTCGTTGCCTCATGTTCATGCCCAGACAACAGCAAGCAAGAGCCAATTACCATAGGAGGGTCCACACAACTCCCACAACGGTCATCCCTAGAACACCCAGCTCAGGGGATCAAGGAGACTGTATCACTGGGTCCCATAGGACACCTAAGACAGAAGACCACTACACTAAGTCTGGGAGTCATAGCAGCTCAATATAATACATAAAAATACACACAAAGAGAGAGCCAAAATGGAGAAAACAAGGAAACAGGACCCAAATGAAAGAACAAGGGGAATATCCAGAAAATGAGCTAAATGAAACAGAGGCAAGCAACTGATCAAAGTATAGGGGGCCGCTTTGAGCAGTATCAGGGACTGTGGTCCCACACAAGCTGGGGCCCAGGAGAGGCTCCATAAGTCTTGGCCAGAACACTGGTAAAGTGGGTGATAGGCAGGACCAATAATAGCTTGGAGGGCCCCCAGGGGGAATAAGGCCTGGAAATAAATTATACTACTTGAAGCATCCTTTGTTTCTCCCTCAGGCTGTTAATCTTACACCAGATAATCAGCTCAAGGTTGGGAAGGAAATTTACATAATCCTGGACCCTGACTCAAATCCCATTTGGTGCCATTATGTTTACTGATCTCATACCCAAGCAATTTGGTGTGTTCCTGCCATTTGTCTTCTTCAAACATCACCTATCTGTAAACTTAAGATACTTATGTAATTAGATTACCTATACATAACTGCAGGATAGGATAGGTGTATCCCCTGCTGGTAACCCTCTCAATAAAAGCCATTGAGCACAGGGGCTCAGGGCATCCCCCACTTGAGGGAATCGCTTTCCCCTTTCCTTGACAGGCAAACGGTGTCTGGAACGGCTCTTTCTTCCATCTGCAGCAAATCCAGGGACTTCACAGGCTGGAGTCCCCCATACACAGATTTCAAAGAATGGTTATAAGGATGCTCAACAGTGTGAAAAAGGACATAGAAACCATGAAAAATAACCTTGCAGAAATAAAGAATAACGTATGAAATAAAGAATACACTGAGAGGAATAATCAGTAGGGTGGATGAAGCAAAGGACTGAGTCAGCAAATTACAAGAGAAGGTAGAAAAAATAACTCAATCAGAGCAGCAAAAGGAAAAAGCTAATTAAAAAGCAGCAGGACAGTTTAAAGGATATTTGGAACAACATGGAATGTAACAACATCCACATTATAGAGGTACCAGAAGGAGAAGAAAAAGAACAAGGGATAGAAAACCTGTTTGAAGAAGTAATAACAAAGCTTCCCTAACCCAGTGAAGGAAAAAGTCATACACTTTTAGGAAGCACGGAGAGCCCAAATCAAGAGGACCTGAAAGAGACCCACACTAAGACACATCATAATTAAAATGGCAAAGGTTAAAGACAAAAGAGAATCTTAAAGGTGGCAAAAGAGAGGCAGTTACCTAAAGGGAGTTCCCATAAGGCTATCAGCTGATTTCTCATCAGAAACACTACAGGCCAGAAGAGAATGGTATGAAGTATTCAAAGAAGTGAAAAGCAAGGATCTGAATCCAAAATATTCTATCCAGCAAGGTTATTATTTAAAATTAAAGGAAATAAAGAGCTTCCCGGGGCAGGGGGGAGGAAAAAAGACTAAAGGAGTTCACTACAAACCAACATTGCAAGAAATGGTACAGGCACTGCTGTAAGAAGAAAAAATAGAGAGAGGAACATAGGCATAAGGAATAAAAGTGGCAATAAATAAGCACCTATTAATAATACACTTAAATGTAAATTGATTAACTGCTCCAATCAAAAGACACAGGGTTCCTGAGTGTCTAAGAAAATATGACCATTAAATATGCTATCTACAAGAGACTCACCTCAGAACAAAAAACTCACACAGGCTCAAATGAAGAGATGGAAAAAATATTCCATGCAAATGGAAACAAACAAAACACCTGGGGTAGCAATACTTGTATCTGACAAAAACAGACTTCAAAACAAAGGCCATAACAAGAGACAAAGAAGGTCACTATATAACACTAAAGGGATCGAACCAACTAAAGGATATAACCCTGAGAAACATACGAGGTCTGTGTAGAAAAATCCAGCCATTGTTAATATAACGAGAACAGTTTGCACGACATTGATGCAACGTGACAGCCAAGGAGAGTGGACTGGAATGCACAAGTGAGAACAGTAACAACTTCACTATACTAGTCAGTGGGGATGGTGGATGCCATTGAGTGAGCATGTGTACTCTTTGGCCATTGCATTCAAAATCACTGAGCAAGTAGAGCAACAAATCTGCATCAAATTTTGCATTAAGCTTGAACATTCCTCTGAGGAAACTATTCAGACGATTTAGAAGGCTGCAGCTATGGGCAACTGGTGATTGGTAGCTTCATCACAACAATGCGTCTGCTCATCCATCGTGTCTTGTGCAGAGGTTTTTAGTGAAATATCAAATCACCCAGGTGACTCAGCCCCCCTACTGCCCAGATCTGGCATCCTGCAACTAGCTTTTCCCAAAATTAAAATCGCCTTTGAAAGGGAAGAGATTTCAGACCATGGATGAGATTCAGAAAAATGCAATGGGGCAGCTGATGATGGCGACTGGGAGAACTGTTCGAGGTCCCAAGTTGCCTACTTTGATGGGGACTCAGGTGTCATTGTCTTATGAACAATGTTTCCTGTATCTTGTATCTTCTTCAATAAATGTCTCTATTTTTCATACTATATGGCTCAATACCTTCTGGACAGACCTCGTATATGGACAGGTGCCCCAATACTGGAGCACCTAAACATATTTTTAAAACTCGGTGGATTTTACAAAAGAGATCAACAGCAATAAAGTCATAGTAGGGCACTTTAACACCCTACTGACATCAATGGATAGATCTTCCAGACAAAAAAAAACAATAAGAAAACATCAACCTTAAATGACACACTAGATCAGATTCATTTAATTGATACTTACAAAACATTTTATCCAAAGCAGCAGAATACACATTCTTATCAAGTGCATGTGCAACAGTTTCAAAGATAGACGAGATCGGGCGCGTTCAGGGTGGTATGGAGTACTAAACTTTGCGACAGCATGGATGGAACTGGAGAGCATCATGCTAAGCGAAATAAGCCAGGGGGCGAAAGACAAATACCATATGATCTCACCTATAAGCGGAACCTAACCAACAATGCAAAGAAGCAAGGAAAATAAGACCAGCAACACTGAAAGGAAAAGAAATCAACAGAGACAAGAGTGGAGGGGGGGCAGGGAAAGGGAAGGGAAGGGGAAAGTCAAGGAACATATAGCAAGGACTCATGGACAAAACCAAAGGGGAAGAGCTGAGGGAGGGAAGGTGGGAGGGGGCAAGGGAAAGAGGTGGGGGGAAGGCAGAGACAAATGTATTTAAAAAGTAAATAAATTAATTAAAAAAAAAAAAACAAAGATAGACCATGTGTTAGGACACAAAATAAGTCTTAACAAATTCAAGATTGAAATAATATTAATCTTCTTGGATCACAATGGCATGAAACTAGAAATTTAAAAAAAACCCTCAAAAGCATTCAAACACATGGAGGCTAAATAGCTTGTTATTAAACAATGAATGTGATACTAATGACATCAAAGAAAAAATAAAAAACGACCTGGAAACAGATGAAAGTGAACACACAACAACCCAAAATTTATGGGACACAAAGAGGGAAGTTCACAGCCTTATATACGTACCTCAAGAAGCAAGAAAAATCACAAATAAACATTCTAATCCTACACCTAAAAGTATTTAGGAAAATAGCAAGGAAAGTGCAGGTTACATAGAAGGAAGAAAAAAATAAATATCACAGCAGAAATAAAGGATATAGAGGCTTAAAAAAATAAAAAAGATCAAGGAAACCAAGAGGTGGTTCTTTGAAAAGATAAATAATTGATGAACCTTTAGCCAAACTCATCAAGAAACAAAGAGAGAGGACCCAAATAAATACAATCATAAATGAAAGAGGTGAAGTAACAACTGACATCACAGAAACACAAAGGATTGTAACAAAATACTATGAACTAGACCACCTGGGTGAAATAGACAAATTCCTAGAAATACACAATCTTCCAAAGCTCAATCAGGAAGAATCAGAAAACCTGAATAGCCTGACAACTAATGAAATTGAAACAGTAATCAAGAAACTTCCAGCAAACAAAAGTCCTGATGGCTTTTACCAAACATTAAAAAAAGAACTGATGCCTATCCTCCTCAAACTATTCCAAAAAATTCAAGAAGAGAGAAGACTTCCAAGCTCTTTTTACGAGGCCAGCATTATCCTAATTCCAAAACCAGATAAAGACACTACAAAGATAGAATATTATAGGTCAATATCCCTGATAAACATAGATGCTAAGATCAACAAAATATTAGCAAATCATACCCAGCAATATATTAAAAAGATAATACACCATGACCAGTTGGGATTTATTCTGGGGATGCAAGGCTGGTACAATATTTGCAAATCAATAAATGTGATACATCACATAAACAAATTGAAGGATAAAAAAATCATATGATCATTATCAATAGATGCAGAAAAAGCATTTGATAAAATCCAACATCCATTTATGATTAAAAAAAACTCTCAACACATTAAAGGCCATATATGACAAACCCACAGCCAACAACTTACTCAATGGGCAAAAACCACAAGCATTTCCCTTAAGATAAGAAACAAGAAAAGGATGTCCACTTTCACCACTCTTATTCAACATAGAATTGGAAGTGCTAGCCACAGTGACTAGACAAGAAGATGAAATAAAATGCATCCAAATTGAAATGAAGGAAGTAAAACTATCATTATTCGCAGATGATATGCTATTGTACATAGAAAACCCTAAGGGTTCCACCAAAAAATGACTAGATTTAATAAATGAATTTAGCAAAGTAGCAGAATACAAAATTAATATCCAGAAATCAGTAGCGCTTTTATACACTAATAATGAAGTCTCAGAAAGAGAAAATAAGAAAACAATGCCATTTACCATTGCAATAAAAAGAAAAAATAAGGTACCTAGGAATAAACTTAACCAAGAAGGTAAAAGATCTGAACTTGGGAAACTATAGGACATTAAAGAAAGAAACAGAAGACACAAACAAGCAGAAGCATGTTGTGTGTTCAAGGATTGGAAGAATTAACATCATTAAAATGTCCATACTACCCAAAGCAATCTAAACATTCAATTCAATTCCTATTAAAATACAAATGGCATATTTCACATACAGGGTCCAGCAGAAGTAACGCATCTTGTTTATGAGCTTCTATGATTTTTATTATAAGATCATAAGCATGCAATTCTGTAACATAACATTTGTATAGAGAACAAATTCTCCAAAAATGTATATGGAACCAAAAAGATCCAAAATAGTCACAGGAATCTTGAGAAGAACAAAGTTGGAGGGGTCACAATATCTGATATCAAACTACACTACAAGGTTATTGTAATCAAAATAGTCTAGTACTGGCATAAGACAGGAAAATAGATCAATGTCATCTATTATGCTTGATCACTTGTTAATGTGTAAAAAAAGAGGAAAACACTGAGAGTGAGCAGAAGGGGAATGATCCCTATGAATTAAAGAGTGTGAATGTATGTATATATATTTTTTTCCCAAAATTTCCTAAATGAAATTTTCCAATTGAAAAATATACCATTTAACTACCCTATAAATAAATGAAATTTCCTGGGAACAATACAAATTTAACTTCATAAGTAAATTTCTAAGACTGCCTATTATATCTAAAGGTAGCCCCGATATTTTTTGAAAGATCTTGAAATTTGGTTCAATGTCTGCAGTGAATCTTCCTATAAGTTACAGCCTTTACTCACAAATCAATCAATTTGATTCAGTTTCCAGAAGGGGTGTGAGTAAGGTAGAGAAGTCACAAGACTTCAGGAAAAGACATGTCCTCAAACCAACACAGCAGATCAGAAACAAAGGAATTCAAACTTACCAGAGGTCCAACTGAAGAAAGCACAGCAGCCATTATATCCTCCTCTTTGTTTCCCTCTCTAGGAGTGGGGTCCTACAAAGACATATCTGAGAAAGAGAAATAAGCCATGAAAACCAATCCTGCCTTCATAATCTCAGACTCACAAATTGGAATCCCAACACGCAAGTAAGCATGACTTCCAAAGAACATAAGAGTAACCCCCAAGATCAGGGAGAGAAAAAAAGATTCTTGCTCCTGGAGATCTTGAGATTTTTAATACTAATTGTAGTCATAGCTAGCAGGCCAGACATTGTACAGAGAGCTTTTAAAATACTTTTCCATTTGATCCTCACATCAATCCAATGGGAATTATATATATAAATGAGGAAGCTGAGGATTAGAAAAATTAATCTACTTATCCAATGCCACCATGACTCCAACTCAGTCTAATTCCAATGCGCACACATTTTCCACTGAATCAGCTTGTTGTGAAGTGAAAAGTTAAAATGCAGAGCCCTTTTAAAAATGGAACCAGAGCAGCCATTCCAAAGGAACTATCTTGTACCTCTTGCTCTGTAAACCTTCAGAATGTTTGAACTGGGTAAAACAACCTTCAGACCGGTCCATAGCAACATTTACAAACAACTGTTTGCAAAACCAACAGGAAAAGCAGACACCCTGACCACAAAGACTGATGATTATGGAATCTCTTTCTAAAGACAGAATCTGTAACCAGCCATGTGGAGTTGAAGAGCAACTCAGCTGTCCACCAGCAGTTCCACAGCCCTCAATAAGAGACTTTGTTATGCTTAATTAACATGTTGAATCTGCTCCTGTCCTGAATGGGCACCTTGCTTCCCATAAGACTCAGTATGGAGCTTTTGCTCAATAAACATAGCACATTTTAATCTAATCTTACAGTTTGTGTTAAAGAGCAGCTCATCTGAAATGATACTACTATCTTCTAAAAACAAGAATTATAATAAATAAAGCAAGTCTATTATAAATTCAAAGAACATCAGAGATATAGAATTTAAACAGGTATGAGTATATTGAAACTTATACTCAAAAGTTATTTTCAAGTATTCATGGAACATTTGCTAAGTTAATGATTTACAATTGACCAAAGAAAATATCCATTAAAAAAGAAGAAACTGAATACACTACATTCTCTGACCATGATGTGGCACAATTACAAATGTAAATGGAAATCTGAAGGGAGGGAGAAAATAAACCTATCATCGAGAAATGAAAAAAAACCCTCCTGAGTAGCTAGTTAAGTCAAAGAAAGGACTTTAAAATATAATTGCCAATGGATTAGAAATAAAGAGTATGATAAGATTTAAAATGTATAGGGTGCTGCCAGAGCTTAATAAATGTATATCTCTAAATACCTGAAAGTAAAAGTTTTTAAAAATAATGAAAATATTAAGCATTCGACTGAAGAAGAAAAATAATGAACAAACCATAAGAAAGAAATAATAAAGGAAGAAATTAATGCTAAGGAAACAAACAACTAAGCCACAAAACAGCTGTCAAAGGCACTAGCTGATTCTCTAAATAATGAAATACACAGGCCAGAGACCAATCAAAAAGAAAAAAATACCAATAAATCAAAAATAGATAAGAAAGGGGCTATAACAGGTAAAACATCTTAAAACTATATGGCAATATAAATAGAATTTCCCAAAGAACAATTTTTGTTTAAAACATTTCCAAAACTGATTCAGACAGCAGAAAATTTAAGTCAGCCAATGTAGCAGAGACTGCTCATTGTCTTCCAACTTCTAGTCTTCCCTTCTTGACAGAGGCTTGACGTCTCAGCTGGCCACAGGGTCGCCACCCAGACATTTCCCAGCCTACCTGCAAGCAGGTGTGCCATGTCACTAAATTTCAGCAAGTGGGATTGGAAATAAAAGAGACAGTATGCAACTTCCAGGTCACATCTTTAAAAGGCGGCTGCTTCCCCTCCAGCTCTCCATTGCCCTTTCCAGTGGCCTGAAATACACACTGCAACAGTGATCCTGCTCTCACCATAGAGAGGACAACACCCCTGCAGCGTGGCACAGCAAAAACGTGGACCAAACCTGGGTTTCTAGATGGCCTCATGGACCACAGCTGCCTACCCCTCCTCCATGCTGCCAGCCACCTACCACCTCAGACTTTTATATGAGAAAAAGTCTTTCTTGTCCAAACCACTTGAATTCTGTTAAAGCTGAAAAATTAAATTCCTAACTAATACAGTGAATGATCATGGAAGAAAAATTTTAAAGCATCAGGTAAGCAGGACAGGGAGAGCAGGGTTAAAGTAAATCAAGAAAAAATGTGACTATCTTAAGAATGTAGGCTTCCGGTCAAGTTGCAGGCATAGACAGACAGGCCTGACCTCATTACACAACTATAAGAAGGAACAGAAATAACTCAAAAACAAAAAAAACATGCAGAACTGCCATAAAATCACCCAGAAAAACACCCAGAACTGTACAGAAGTCCAACAACCAAGGATATAAAGAAGCTATATTCATCCAGACGGATAAGAGGGGTAGAGACTGGGAGTTGCGGTGGAGAGGACTTGGTGTGGCAGCAGTGAGCAGGGTCAGAGAGGCGGAGAGGTGGGGGAAGCCATGGGTTCAGGCAGCCCCATGATCACATGTGGTGGATAAAAATCAGGGGGACACCTTGTGAGCAAGCCCAGCCGCAGCTCAGATCCTGCAGCCCAGGGATCCAGCAGCGGAAAAACTCAAACTGTATAGCTTCTGGCTGTAAACCCAGTGGGGCAGCAGAAGAAACTGCCAGTACATATGCAAGTCCACCCACCCTGGGAACCACAACCAGGACAGCAGCTAGAGGGATGCCAGTTGCATGCAGGAAGTGGGTGAAGTTATTGGAAATAGGAAGCGGGACCGGCAAGCCCCCAGAAGTCAGCCAGCAGGCATATTGTCCCCTCTTAGAACCCTCCCCACACATGGAGGGACAGCTGCCCCACCCTGGTGAATACCCAAGGCTCCACCGAATATGACTTAACAGGTGCACTAAAATACGATCAAAGTGACTCCACTCAGTACACAGACACAGGGAGGCTGCCAAAATCAGGAGACAAAAGAAATATGGCCCAAATGAAGGAACAGAGCAGAACCCCAGAAAAAGAACTAAGTGGTGAGGAGATAGCCAACCTATCAGACGCAGAGTTCAAAACACTGATGGTCACAATGTTCAAAAATCTCGTTGAATACGGCAAAAGCATAAGAGAATAAATGAAGGCTCTACTAAGAGAAATAAAAGAAAAATCCACAGGAAACCAACCAAGGGGAAGGAAGCTGGGATTCAAATCAATGATTTGGAATATAAGGAAAAATAAGCACTCAACCAGAACAAAACAAAGAAACAAGAATTCAAAAAAACAAGGAGAGTTTAAGAAGACTCTGGGGGCATCTCCAAAAGGGCCAACATCCAAAACATAGGGATTCCAGACGGAGAAGAGGAAGAGCAAGAAATTGAAACCTATTTGAAAAAATAATAAAAGAAAACTGCCCTAATTTGCCAAAGCAAATAGACATACAAGTCCATGAGGCAAAGAGTCCCAAACAGGATGGACCCAAAGAGGTCCACACCAAGACACATTATTAATTACAATGCAAAAGGTTAAAGATAAAGAGAGAATCTTAAAGCAGCAAGAAAAAGGCAGAGAGTTACCTACAAAGGAGTTCCCATAAGACTATCAGCTGATTTCTCAAAATAAATTTTGCAGGCAAGGGACTGGCAAAAACTATACAAAGTGATGAAAAGCAAGGATCTACAACCAAGATTACTCTATCCAGCAAAGCTATCATTTAGAATGGAACAGCAGATAAAGTGCTTCCCAGACAAGGTAAAGCTAAAGGAGTTCATCATCACCAAGCACTTATTATATGAAATGATAAAGGGATTTATTTAGGAAAAAGACTAAAACTATGAACATTAAAATGACGACAAACTCACAACTACCACCAACTGAACTTAAAAAACAAAAACAAAATAAACTAAGCAAACAAGTAGAAGAGGAACATAATCATAGATATGGAGATCATTTGGAGGGTTATCAGCTGGAAGGGGGAAGGGGCAGAATGGGGGAAAAGGTATAGGGATTTAGAAGCATAACTGGGTAGGTGCAGAATAGACAGAGGGATGTTAAGAACAGTGTAGGGAATGGAGAAGCCAAAGAAATTACCGGCACAACCCATGGACATGAACCAAGAGTAGGGGAATTGCTGCAGGGAAGGGGGGAACTCGGTGGAAGTGGGCAAAGGGGGAAAAATTGGGACAACTGTAATGACATAATCAATAAAATATACTTAAAAAAATGTAGTGTAGTTTATTCCATGACACTAGGGGGTTTCACTAGACACAATGAAGATTTTGACAAAAGAGAAACAATAATAAGTTGAGGGAGGAAAAAACAGTGTAGTGTGGAGCTAAGACTTGAAAATCAAGGAAGAATAACCTGGGAGGATTCCTATATTGAAGCCTCAAGGTTACCAATAAAAGAGGTTTTTCTTTACACCAGTGTTTCTCTAACTTTTTTCAGGTAATGGATCCCTCTGCAGATCTAATGAAAATTATGACTCTTCTCCCAGAAAACTCTCAGATATAACTAGAAGGGTCTCAAATCTCAGGACTGAAAAAGCTCACAAGGCATGATCATTAAAAAGGAAATTATTTGGCTCCATCCAAGATCTAAATCAGGATCTCCAGTATAGGTGTGAGGCACACTGAGAAGCACCATTCTAAAGATAACTCTTGAACCCCAAATTAAAGACCCTTCTTTACAAACTTCAAAATCCAACTGAAATGTTTTACCAGGAAGATTCTAGAGTCCAGGCAAAGCTGCGGCCCTGCATTAGTTCCCTCAGGTGAATTTCTGCTTCATGCTTCGTATTTCTCGAACCACTCTTTAACTCACAGTGCAGAAGCTACACTTGTACCAAGTTTAAACCCAATTTAAAACAGTAACTGAAGCTGTTCTAACAAATATTAACAATGAGTACATAGCAACACCAGTAGATCTTATCTTTTGGGGGATCCATCTGAGATTTTGACCTTGTCCACAGAATAATGCACAGGAATGTATGATGTTGTGTATTATTTTTGGGAATTTGAAGCCTGACCCTTCCAAACCTATATACTGACCTCATGTTAAGAAGTCGTTTTACAAGGTTGGAAAGAAAAAAATGGCTAAAGAAAAAATAAGTGAAAACTAATTTTTTCCTAAACACAAAAGCAGACCTACAAAGAGTGACTTAAGACATTTCTGCATCTTTAAAACTTAGTAAGACTGATCTGAGTCATTTCTTTTTAAATTTGTACAGATTAATAAACTCCTTGGCAATATGCCATGTAGCTAATACTAGTCTAACAACCAAACTGTACAATAAACATCTTTTTAATTTTATAATTAAAATAAACAATGCTATTTGAAATTTATTATTTGATCTCAATTGTGTAAAATAATGCACAGAAAAAAAGACTGCAAGTCAGTAAGCTAAAACTACTGGAACCTCTGCGACCTGAGTCTGTGATGTTTACCCTTGCTTTTCCGTACTCGCCAAGCAGACAATGCAGAGTTTATACATACATACAAGTTCCGTATAGGAGTAAAATTCCAGGATAGCTGTCCACACCCCCCGGTTTCTAATGTGGGCTTGGCTGCTGTGGAAATGCTACCATAAGCAAGTCACTTAAGCACAATGAATCAGACATTAGTAAATGAGGCCAACCACACTGTACGTTTCTATCTTTGTTCTTGACATTATGCAGAAAATATCCCCAGAATCCTAATTTCCTATTTTTTTTCCTGGATGTTGTGACTTCACCCAAGCCCTGTCTTCCCAACCATTGCAGAAGTACCGAAGACTTAAGGAGAAATTTCACTTGTTGTGGTTCCTAAGCCAGTGCATTTAAAAATAATGAGAACGTCAGCACCATGTCCCAGAGAGGCATTTCCCAACTACAGCGATAATACTATTGTCATGCCAGGGAGAGAAGAGCGACTTCAAAGTGACTATTTGAAATGCCATAAGATGAGCCGCCAAGGAAAGGCTGCCCGAGCTACCGAAAGACAGGAGTGCGCCCACCTGTCTGGTCACCAGAAGGGAAGCCCAGTTCCACCCTGCGGGTTCAGGGGCCCCGGCTGAGACGGTCCCCCCGCCAGCACCGCTCTTTCCCTGACTGCCCTCCTCTGTCCACTAGGGGAACTGTAAAGAGCGGGCAGGTCCGGCTGAGCCCCCTGCCCCGGCCCGCGCGGGGGTGTCCCCAACCCCAGCGTGGCGAGGCCGGCCGCCCAGGGCGCCGACCGCCTTCCCTAGAGAGCCGAGGCGAAAGCCAGGTCGGCCTGAGGCCCAGCTCCAATCGCCTCTCGGGGCGGGGCGGCTCGGGAACAACGCTGTGGAGGGAACGGCCACGCCCCGGACGCGGCGAGGAGTCGCGCGCCAAGGGAGGTGCGGCGAGAAATCGGACCCTGGCGCCTGGGGCAACGAGTACCTGGCTGCGGAACTGAGGACAACTGAGGGCACTCGCAGAGCAGGGCGGGAACGCGTCCAGCGATGGCGCCGGTTCCTTGGGGCCGGCTGCCAGCACGGCAGTGCGCCTGCGCAGCCGGACGCCGGAACTACCATGCCCAGAGTCCTCAGCGCCTGAGCTTTTCCTTTGCTTTGTATTTATGGGGGAATTGGCTGTTTATTTTTAATTTGGGTGGCCTGAAAATTCAAACAGATTGAATAAATTTGCTCTGAGAGGCCACAACTGTGTGTCAAGCACTAGTGTGACAAAGAAGAATGACGCAACCCTTGCCTCGGATCATTTCCCGGTGACTAAAGAAATAAAGTCATTGAGAGAACAGGTAGGGCTCCTGTGGCTTAGTTGAAACCCCAAACGCCTGCAGATGCGTATCCAGCCCCTTGCTTGTCTTTCATTCAAGTTCTTGACCGAAAAAAATAGGTAAGGCCTTCATTATAGTTTCTGGGTCTTTGAATCAGAGCTTCTTTCTTGGTTCAACCAAATAATTTTAACAATGTAATTAGTATATTGTATCATACACTTAATGTCATTAATGATTAGATAATATATGTATTACAGAAGTATGATATGTTTATTTTGAAAGGCACGTTTTCCTTTGTCCAAGGCCATATCCTCCCCAAGCAATCCGCGAGGCTCTCCCCTCAGCGACAAGGCCGATTTGCTTCCTCTCTAACCCGTTCCTACTCCGCGCCCCTTGGACTCTTTTCTTGTGCCGCTTTGATTGTCTATGAGGCCCATTCAGGGTCAGCCTGCTCCAGCCAGGAAAAAGAAAGCTCAGTGACTCTGAACGCGGTGTAAAATGGCTCTTGAGATCTCAAAGAACCAGTAGGTAGATAACTTTGGAGAAAGCCTGACATCACCAATGACCTTTGAACTATCAGAGTGGAAAGAAATGCAAGTGGGAAATCAAACGCCTGGAGAAAACAAACATGATACCCAAAATGATAAGTATACTGGACTGGATTAAGAGCAGATTATTAGACACTGCAAAAGAAAAGATTAGTGAAGTCAAAGACACACAAATAGAAACTTCCCAAAATGAAACAGGGAGAAAAAAAAAGAGAGAATGAACAGGGCACCAGTGAGTTATGGAAAACGATGAAGTAGCCTAACTATGTGTAATTAGAATTCTGGAAGGAGAATAGAGAGAGAGTGAGGGAGTAGAAGAATACTTGAAGAAACAATGGCTAAATATTTACAAAATTTGATGAAAATTACAAATCCACAGATCCAAGAAGCTTCATGAAATTCAAAGGAAAGACATGGAGAAAACCACACCAAGGTACATTATAATCAAACTGCTGCAAACCAGTAATAAAAAAAAAAAATCTTAAAAACAGGAACAAAGATAATGCATTATTTACAATAGCCAAGATCTGGAAACAGCCCAACTGCTCATCAGCAGATGAGTAGATAAAAAGCCATGGTAAATTTAAACAATGAAATGCTACTTTGCCATAAAAAAGAAGGGACTCCTACTCTGCGTCAGTGTGAAGACCTTGAGAGCACTATGCTAATTGAAATAAGCCAGTCAGAAAAATACAAATATCACTGGGTTTCACTCATATGTGCAATCTATTGAACAAAATGATCTAACAAGCAGACTAGCAACAGACTCATGGAGAGGAGGCTGATAGCTGTTGGGGGAGGGCAGGGGTAAGAAGGGGGGTGGGGTGTGGAAGGACAGAGCAAAAAAAAAAAATAAAAACCTCATGGGCATGATAGACAACAGTGTGGTGACTGGCAGGTGGGAAGGGGGGTGGTGGCAGTTGGAGGAGGGTATAGGTGGGTAAATGGTGATGAATGGAGATTTGACTTGGGGTGGTGAACACACAATACAATATACAGATGATGTGTTGTGTAATTCTGTGCACCTGAAACCTGTATAATTTTGTTAGCCAGTGTCACACCGATAAATTCAATAAAAAGCAAAGAAAAAAATCTATAATTTTGTAGAGAAGTGTTATATATGTACATATTTAACTTTTTGTAATTTAATTTTTTTAGTTTTGACATTGCTTATGATACTTAATAGACTTGCCATTTAATATATTCTTATCTAATTTTTTGTCACAGGGAGCAACGTATTGCGGGGAGCACTGCAGTGGAGCATGGGGCTCCTGGATCTCAGGGTTACTGTCCAGAGCCAGCTGAGGAGGGAGCAGGGCTCTGAATCCTGCAAAGCTCGTCCCGGGGTTGTCACAGATGAGGGGCATAAACACGAGTCATCACAAACACTTCTCTGTTTGCCAGGAGAGGGGACATGGCTCTTCCTTCTAGGGGAGAGAAGGCCCCGAACCCCTGTGTCCAAAGGCTTTTATTGCTGTATACAGGGATATACAGCAAAGCTCATCAATCAATGTCAAAAGGCTATGTTACAGAAAACAAATAGAGATCATAGATAACAATTGGAGGAACACAGGATATCTGTCTCAGGTCAGGGTCTATGAATAATGTAAATCTCCTTCCCAGTATGAGCTGGTTATCATCGCTTTAAGGGAAGAACAAAGCATGCTTAGAGGAACTTACTTCTAGGCCCGATTGTCTCCGGGAACCACCAGATCCCGTTTAGGGCTCTAACTGCCTTTAATGTTGTTTCAAGCCTGAGCCAGGCAGGTTGGGCACAGCCACCAAGAGATAAGGAGACTTCTTGCAGATAGAATGAGGACCCCAGCCATTTCCAAGCCTAGCCGAGGGGAGCGGGCCTTTTTGCTCTTTCTCTTTGTCCCCCAAGTCCATGTCTGCTGCCCATACCAGCTGATGTCTGGCTTAGGTCATCCCTCCTCTTGAGAGAACTTACTCATCATCAACAAGAGACCATCACAGGGCCAAGCAGGGTGATGCGAGGAGGGTAGGAGCTGTGCCCCTGACTGGGGGACAGGTTTTGTTTCCTCAGTGGTGTGTTTTCCCAAGGCCTCCTTGATTATTTCCAGCCTTGGGGTCCAGGTGGGGCATTTACCAACAATTTTTCAAGTTCTAAAATCAACGTATTATATGGACTAAATAAAACATGAATTTTAAAAATCAAGTAACAAGGTGTTAAATAAAATATATCGTGGCCTCCTGCTTTCTGAGCAAACGTATTTTTGTACCTCATCAGAGTTTTGTGACAAAACATGGTGGTGTAATGAGACCAACTGCAGCCAACTCAGTTATGTTACCCCCCCCAATATGGCTCACACCTCAAAAGCTTTGCATTTCCAAACTGAATCTACTCCCCTCCCTGACTCAAGAAAAGAATATGCCCCTTTATATTTCTTAAGAACTATAGGTGTGTATGCTAATAGCAAGTTTCATTCTGATGGGGATAAACCTGAGGTGCTGGGTACCTAGGATGTTATGTAGAAAGAAGAAGAATGGGTTCAAGTTGACAAACTCAGATGGCCTCATAGACTTCTCAGCCCATGGGGACAGTGGCAGGTGGAAGAAGGCCAGAATGGGTCCTTGCTAGACTCAGAGCTCAAACACCACTCCTTCTTCCCAGTTACAAAGGCAGTAGTGCCAAGGAGTATAAACAGGTTATGATCAAAATGCGGCACAAGTGTCTTCTGAAGTTTTGGTAACATACTACTTTGTGTCTTAGGTGGAATTTTCATGAGTGTTTGTTTTTAAAATATTCAAAACATTTTACACACTTTTACGTATGAAAACTTTCCTTTAAAAGTATTTAAAATCTGGACTACACTGAGATGCAGATATTCTATTTACATAAACATTTGCCTTTTGTCTCTAGTCCAGCACTAAGGTTTGAGTTATTGTTTCCTGTGTTCCTTTGGCTCCCTCATGACACACAATTGTAATTATTTTACCACTGAAGACATTTGCACAGAATACTAAAAAGAATCATCAATCAATGAATTTGGATGGAACTGAGTTGTAATTACTAAGTAATCAAAGCAATAGAGGACAATAGGCCCTGAGGACTACAGAAAGTCCTGTAGGTTTATATGTAACTGTGACACACCCATAACCTAATTAACCACTCATAACACATTCATAACCTATTACCTATTCATAGTTAGTTAATCTAACTATGAAACTGGCTATAATCAGGAAAATATAGCATAGGTGGAAAAATATTTCAAATTGTGTACATTTAATATATGGAAAATAATATGAGATATAAAAACTAAACAAATGAAAAGGCATTCAATATTCCTATATAAAAAGGCTAAATATATAGATGTTAAGAGGAGGAAAAAACTTAATGACAATACAAAGGCAAATATCAGCCTATGAAAAAATATTTGTAATAAGTGTATATGGTTATTATCTTTATTATAAACATTAAAAACAAAATATTAATATTTGAATACAATAAATGGGCAATGACCAGAAGAATTGAGAGCAAACGAAAATTCAGGTGCACATGGGGTTTCCCCACGGCGGGCAAAACAGTGTAACCGAGACACCTCGGGCCAGCATTGTGCTCTCACAGTGACTAGTTCAGGTCTTCACAAAAACATGTGAAAAGTGGAGCCATTTTAAAATAGAGAAAAAGCTACATTCCAGAGTAACTGCATTGCATCTTCCTCCTTGAACCTTTAGAATGTTTGAATTGGGCAAAAGAACCTTTGGACTGGGCCAAACTAATGTGTCTCACCAACAACTGCTTGTAACACTAATGGGACAGCAGACATCCTGAGCACAGGGACTGATGATTACGGAGTCTCTTTCTGAAGACAGAATCAGAAGCCAGCATGTATAGCTAGAGAAGAACTAACCTAGCTTGTTAGCATAAATATAAATTATTTTCTTCCATTCGTGTAATGATTCTTTTTCTCTTCTCACAAAAACCTCTTGCCTTCACACCATAATTGGGACCTAATTTGGATTTCTGACTGAATCTGCACCCCCAGATTGCAATTCTTTTTTTATCTTACATAAACACTGTTGGCTATAATTTTGGCCCTTTATTTTAAGGTTAAAACAAACAACCAAATATATCTCCAAAACATGGATGACCATTTTGTATAGTTACTTAAATACTCTTAGGGGAGGAGTTAGTTCAGACAATGAAACATCTGAAAAATTGGCTTTAATA